GGATCGACTGCCCCGGCAGGATTTCTCGAACAGTTCACGCTGGAATCCACCAACGCTGTCTTCAGTCATTTTTTATCGAGCTGTGCGTAACCTATAAGAGGAGGGTTAAGAAAAAGCTGAACAAGTCATGTGCATTAGTTAAAGTCCAAAGAGATGGAACAGGTTGTAACCAGCTGGAGGTGAATGGGTGGTATTGACGGGCGTTTAAGTAGAGGCGCTATTCCCAGCTATAAGACAGGTGTTTATCATCCTCAAGTGGTTCACATATTTTTGGTACTCAGCTGGGTTTGGAATAAGTGATCAAATGAGATGTTAGTGTTGCTAAAATACAGTTGCACACATAGATACAAATTGCGAAATTTCTGTGCACAAATTTTTGCGTTTATTAGCAGCCGAGAGATGACGGCATTGTTGTGTACAATTTCATGTTGTAGAAGCGCTCTTTGAACAGAGATGAGTAACACGGCTGTGCACTTAAACAGAAGTTGAAGCCACTAACATTCTTATCCACATGTTACACACCGGTTCGTTGATGGCGGATGATACTGGCACAATTTTTAGTTTACTCGTTTCATGAGAAATAAACTTGATATCTATACTCTGAATACAAATCTATATTACGGAGACTACAAATAAACAATACGGGAAACGTAACCTCTTTATATGCTCCAGATCAACATTGTTACTTACCGAACCTGGTCTGAAGAAGAGTCTCTGTAAATTGTTAAATGAATGAAGAAAAAGAACAGTTCACAGTAGGCATCGAAGAAAATAATGCTCTTAGTGGTTTAACTGCGATCAGCTGACTTAGAAAGTGTTCCTATGAATAACCTGACAAACTGCCAGGAAAATCAGTTAAATCAACCCTACTACTATTGTTTTTAGGTAAAACAACCAGGCATACCTTCGGAAGTGACCCTACAAAAATTTCCGCACATTGCGTACGTGTAAACAAAACGAATGACGGGGTTCGTACTAGATTAGAGAATCACGTTATCAGCAGACTTTCTTTATCACTTGCCAGTCCCAAAACTGGACAAATTATTTTGCAGAACTCAATTCACACGGATCACCTAGGTAACTAACGTTTACGGCTGTCGTCCACTCTTCTTGTAATTCTGTTTCGGTGCCTAAGATGAATATTCACTCATATGGAGAAAATAAATCATCTTGTTCGTGGAGTCACTTATCCGACACTTTACGAACATAACCACTTCCCCTACTCACCATTTGTCACTCAAACCTGTATGGGAAGGACATTAAGTGCTTTGACCTTGCACAATGCAATGTTGACTGGCGTAGAAGAAGATTTTCAGTGATTAGTTTAGTTGTGGAAGGCAGACTTATTGGTCGAAAATTCTCTTGGGGAGGTCTAAAGATACATGCACAGAAGCCCTAGCATAAGCAAGTTAGTGTTCACATACGCTTCCAAACCTTAAAAGATATGTTGCAATATTATTCAATCAGTTGTGAGGAATTAGTCGAATTTTCACGTCCACACAGGTAATAATTTAAGACTACATGACAATCACACTTGCTGGCACAAATGGCTAGCTAGAATTACTTGATAATTTGATTTCGTAATTCCTTCTGCAATGTAAATAGCCCTGCCTAATGTTCACGTCATCTCACAATAGTTACTCTGTACTTTGATACATTCTAATATATGGCCTCCACCTCATGTAGATAAACTCACGACAAGGTGTTGCTGTTTGACAACTTTCAAGTGGCACAAGCAACGCTGAACGCAATTTCCCGTTCTGCTAAGTACTTCGGAATGCGCTTTGCAGCCTCGAAATGCAGAGTGCTTCTGCAAGATTGCTGTAATTACTTAGATTTGATGTTACATAATGAAGTCATGAAAGTTGTTGACCGGTTTGTATGTCTGGGAGGTTGCATTAGCTACGGCAGCAAATGTGTAGGGAATGAAATAGAGGCGTGTATTTATAAGGCTATAGCGGTGTTTATTAATCTTAGGCACTTATGGCGACAGAAGGCTATCTCTCTGAAGCTCAAGGGTCGCATATACCAGACAACACTTCTGTAGCATTCACAGTTCCTAGGAAGACCGATTATAAATAAGGGTTCCCATCCCTGCAAGCTACTGTCTTACTTGATGTCACAGGGGATCAGTCGACTGCTTCACTTGTTTTGTCGAATTGGTCGAAATCCACTTTGCTTGCATGTGCACTGTAGACCTCTCCATGACAAGCTTTAAGAAAAGAAAAACTGAAAAGTTGAGTAAGCTGATTTGATGTAGCACCCATATTGTCTGGTTGTTTGGGTCGCGTAAAGGTCATTTAGGAAGGATGTGTTTGTCTGAACTGGAGCGTTTTTCTTGGTTTTCTCCTCGATTATTATTGTCAGTCAATTTGCTGCACCGCAGGATGTTGGAAATTACAAAACAGCCCATGATTTACTTCGTGATGCCAATAAAGATTGTGGTAAATATGGCTCCGAAGTGCACTGACATCGTTCGTTCATCTGTTGTGGTATAATTTACCCCGGGGAAAATTTTGTCATCATTCATTTCTTCTCAGTAGCATTGAGCATGATCAGAAGGTACTGTGTCTAGGACCACTGCTAACCTCAACAGTGAAGTTAGATATTTTAGAAGAACGGTTTACAGATGGAATAAAAATTGCCGATGTCTCATCAGCAATTTATCTTGCCCCTGACAGAGTGCTACCCTAGTGTGTGAGACTGTTCACAGTCTAAAGCGGATTAACTGCAATAAAAAGTAGGAGTGGAAATGCCTCAGTCTTGAAGCAACACTTTGCAATCTGAACGTGCGAAGCACATTCCGTACAAACCAGCCCGACTACCCACCTTGTTCTGTATAGTCTGAATGTCTTCGGCAGAGGGTTTAAGTAAAACAGTGTCATCTGCTTACTCAACGTCGGGTAATGTAATGTCAGGAAGAAGCTCATCAGCAAGCTTATTGCAGTCCTCAAGCGTACCTTCCAAAATGTCGTCCATGACAAAAAAGTGAGCAGGGAGGGGGAAATCGGATACACATGATGAACACCACCCTTCATTCAGATTAGGAATACAATGGTCTCGTCTCTCATAGTGTGTATACACTATTCCAATAGTCGTTTTCGGTCCATCACCTTCATGGCGTTGAGACACGCCATTTCGTTCTCGATTGTACGCACTATACTATTCACAAACAAAGCTACCTGTTGTGTAACAGCTGTGGTGATGTAAAACGACTCCAATTGTAGTTTTATGAATTCGACCCTTAAGTTCAGGTGGTATGGCATACTTGAGATATTACGTTAAACCGCACTCACTGAGGCTAAGGGTTATTTGGTCTTCTAAACTATGGAACTCCTTAACACATGCTTCTAGATTTGTGGTGTTTCTGTCAAATTTGATTGACTGCTGTCACAAACACCACGGTGTGGTGGGTGCGTAAAAACAGCGACCAAACTAGACGAATACGCGTCTTTCCGTGAGCAAGGTCCTGATGTTTCATTCACCTAGGAGATTCAGAAAAGGAACCGTGTTCCTACACTGCTGTTTGTTCATTCAGAACCATTTCAGTCAATCCACAATTCTATCAGTGCCACCTAGTGGTTTCCATGTTAGGAGTTACAGAACTTTCGTAGACGAGGAAGCATTAAAGTATTTGTGGTTACACATGTAAGAACCCAATCGTAATCATCATCATCCCCATCATCCATGGCGGCAATGCATCTGCGGTGTGCACCGGTAAATAACTGGCACACATGCAAGTAGAGAACAGCTAGCTCTAATCAACAGGTAAAGTATAGAGAAGGGATTAGGCCTAATTGGTAAAAACCGTCCACGCCTACGTTCGAGCACTCAACATCAGCACAACTTGCAAACAAACTGAGCTATAGGTGAAATTAAGACATCTCCAACAAATCAGTCAGCCTCCTTACGGCTTTCACTGCTGTACAAGATTAACTACACTTACTTCGAAGACAACTCTGCCAAATCACGATAATTTTGTTTTAAAAGCAGCTGAATTATCAATAAAAAGAGGGATACTCTGGTTTCCTTAACCTGTGTGCTTTATTTAAGGTTTCATTACACGACCGTACAGTTTAAGTTTTGAACCCTAAGGTTCGATATTGTTAATCAGGCTGCCATCGATCATGATAATAGTCAACCGGTTAGAAAGCGAATTATTAAACACAGTGCATGCAATAAACCGAATAATAAACGGACAAAACTGTGGAAATTTATTGAGTCGACAGACAATCTCGCCACTGACTGTGATACAGTGTATTGTCAGAAAGCGTTTGCAACCAGCAGCGCGAGTGGTCTAACATTCTCCAAATTGACAGATGGCACTTCTCAACGTCGCACAGTAAGAAACTTAGAACTTTCACTTGCCCAGGAATATATCGCCTCCTTATCGTGTTGTAATGTATTTCACGCAACAGCAAGCATAATTAACAATGTGATGCGACAGGAGCTCGGGCAACGTAGTGAGTGTATATGTGCCTAAGCCAGCGAACATAGTGCACTTTTATCAACTCAGTCATTAGTCGTGAACGTGAAAATTTCCGAGTTATATACTGGAAGACCACGTGGATGCTCACACAATCGTCTCAACTAATACAGGCTAACAAGTGAATTCAAAAATGATGAAATAGCAAAATGTTATCCACACTTTCCATACTGGTAGGCCCTAGAGCAAGACTGAACACGCATACGCCTGGTAAGCTTTGAATATTGTAAACCTTTACTCACTTATCAGTCGAAGCCCAAGCACTATTACTGTTTGATAATATTACAGATG